CCCCCCCCCCCCCCCCCCCGCCAATGGTGGTGGCAGCTTCTTTAGATCCAGGATCAGAGCAGGGGCAGGACCTCACATGGGGTGATTTGCCTCAGGCCCTGCACCCTGCTTGGGTCACCTCTGCATATCAGATACATATATTAGGGCTGTGTGAAACACCATCATTTTGTTTCAATGTCCATTTCACAGTTTTGAAGGAACAGTGTTTTGTTTTGTCATTTTGTTTCATTTCGAAACACTGTCCCATTTCATTTAGTTGAAACTGTTTTGTTGTTTTGCCCATAGGCTATAATGGGGAATCATAAAAATATCTAAAACTTTGTCATTTTTTGCCTGATTTGGATGAAAATTGCAGGGATGGTAGCCCCTTCTGAGGGCATGAAGCCTGCCACATTTCAAGGAGATTGGTGCAGAGGTTTCTGGGAAACTGCACCTCAAACTGTTCAAAGGACAACTCCTCACACTTGCCAGCAGCAGCAGCCTCCTCTCATCCAGCATGCACATCTGGGGGCCTACACCCCTAGGAGAGCTGTGGGGCTGTGCTGGACTCCTCCCAGGGGTGTGAAGTGTTTTCAGCTTTCCAGATGGGGATACTTGGATTTTGACTGATGTGAATTTTTTTTATCATAATTCAAAAACAAACAATGTCCCTCCACCCCCATCCTTAAACTGGCATAATTAGAACATGTACAATATACAAAGAGTTCCCCTTCTTTCCTAAAGAGATGCACTCTGAATTTTTGTTACTTGTTGTCTTGGTTTTTATCCAAACAGTTTATAGACTAATATAGAGGGGTTTAGAGAGCTCCTTTCCTGCAGACAGATATAATGTTAAGGCCTTGGGATTATAGCATCAGTCATTTGGAGCAATGCCATCGCTGCAGATTCCACTCCTCCAGCAAATGGTCACCTACCAGACAGTGAACTCTGGACAGCTATTCTTTGAAGGCAGATTTTAAATCAGTCATACACTTGACTGATTTTATCTAGACTGTTTTTCTCTATTTTGCTTATCAAAATGTCATGGGTGACAATATGTCAATAGTCTAACTAAAATCAATTTATCACATTATGGCTTCTTCCCATCCACTGGGCCAAATAACATGTTTAAAAAGCCAATCAGATTAGTGGGACAAAATATGTTTTTCATATATCCAGATTGGCTGTTTCTCATCACCTTATCCTCTGTGATTCTAGTACCTCACAATGGAGGCCACACTGGAGCACACTGGAGCAGATTCGACTAACTGAGTCTGCTGGAGTGTGGTAATTACTGCACTCCAGCAGCTTCCTGAGTCCCTGCACTTAAAAATCACTGTGGGGGCGCTTGAGCTAATGCTCATCAAATACTGTAATTAAGCACTGCCATCCCCCATCTCCCCACACCCTGAAGCATGTGTAAAAGTGCCTAGAGGTACTAGATTTCATATGCATTACCTAAAGTGCATTAATGAATGTGCAGATGGGTTTACTGAGCAATCCATGATTTACACACCTGTGGACATTTTGAGCATCCTTAAGCCACTGTTTTGAAATATTTAGTGATGTTACACTAGCATTAGGTCATTAGTGATCACTAAAATAATAAAGTAAGGTACATGTTTCCATGTGATCTGTAAATACTTTTTTTGCAGTTCTCAGGATATCTAAGATCTAAGCCAACATCTTTTTTAGCATTTGGTTTGGTTTTTTGTTTAAACTACTTAATCCTAGAAATTCATCACAACTAAATAGAGAGTGTTGGAAATCCTCAGTTGATATAAACTTGAGCTATGATCAACTGATGATGTGTTCCAGGGAGGGTGAAGTTAATTTTGCTTCCACTGGGTACAGATTTCTTTGCACAGTTTTCAGCAAAGCTATTTACCTGTTCTCAGATCAGAAAAGACAAATCTGAATGCGAACTGCTTTCTTTGCTTTGGAGTCATTCTTCAACTTTCAGACTGAGAAACTACTGGGATTTAACTGTTAACCATGATCTAGCATTTTCCAGATATCTTTAGGTCCATAGCCTGGTCTCTTCTATTTTGTAAATTATATCCACATCCTGATATGATTGTTGACCTCAGCTGGGGTTTTTGGGCTGAACTGAGTCACTGCAAACTTCTATGATTTCAGCAATAAATTATCTTCTCAAGAGATATTCCTCTCTTTGATGCCACTTTTGTAAATGTGAACAGCTATCCCTTCTCACGCATACAAAGGTTCAAAAAAGAGGGCAACTGTATGATTAAAGCAAAAATGCTTACTATTGAGTAAGGGTGAGTTGGCCTATTAACTAGTCATGCCATCAAGTACTATGATATCAGGCTTAGGACTGTTAAGAATAAATACATTAAATGATAGTAATAAATTACATGGTTTCCTGGTGGGTCTGCCCTGGGGCTAGGAATCTGTGTGTTGCCAGACTTGGGGTACTTTATGGTCAGGTCTGCTGTAAAACAAAGAACCCTAGAAACTCTAAGATGCTGGCCTGAGTTGTCTACTGGTGGATCTTCCTCAAATATAAGGCTTCTAGGAATCTCCTGTAGCTGCTCAGTGAAATGGGCATGCTAATAGCAGCAAGGAAATGAACAGCAAAG